GCTATATCGCCCCGCTCGATGGGTCTCCCTTCCACCTCCAGCCCGCGGCATGCGGCTCCCGACGTCATGATTGGCCAGGACTCAAATCATTCACACATCATTGGCTGGTCGGGTTATTCGGCCCTGAATCAAAGTTTAGGGGTCCCGAGAGTGCCGCGGGGGCTCTGCGTTATTCCGAAGCCAAGGATATTCAGTTCTTGGTACCATGCGACCTTCTGCGGTCGGTATGAAAATAGCATCTGATAATCAAGGGTACACTGAGATTCCAAACGCTATGAGCATAGCACGTCTGGTGCAATGCCCTGACCCCGGGTGGAAGGATCTGCAGTTAAAACTATAAGACAAAACAGGAGTTTTTCTGTTGTAAAATGTATTGTTTTAAGTGAAAAAAATTTAAAAAATGAAGAAGTTAAAAGTAACTTCTAAGAGAAACAAAATTGTAGTTAAACTGTAGTCAACTGCAGTAAAACTGCAGTTTAACTATGCAAAAACTACCAGTTATTTGGAACAACTATAGTTTCTCCCTCATTCTCGTGCTAGTTAAACTGCAGTCAAACTGCAGTTCAACCTTAGTTTCGAACAACTTAAAAGCCATTTGAAATAACTAGAAAGAAAGTAGTGAGGGTTCAGTTTCCGAATAGAGAGTGAAAATTCAAAATCGGGCCTCAGCCCTGTAATCAAGTTGCCACCTTAGGTGTTTTCAACCTTAGGTGTTAGTGAGTGGAGTCACGTCCTTTCGGAGATGATCACTCGTATAAAATATACAGTACTGCGCATCGAGGGCTGATGCACTTCGGGGCACAGCGATCGGAGCCTAACCAAACGACGACCCGTACACGGTAAAAACGAAACCTGGGATTCCCAGGAGCCCTATGTTAAAAGGTATGGGAGTTTCCAGGAGATTCCTGGGATTCCCAGGAAGCGTTTTTACCGTGTAGCCGTACGCGAGAGGAAAGTTGTACTCAATGTTATTTCCCTAATATTCCACCTATCGAGGTCAATCCTTTTGTGGTAGAGTCATAGCATCTCAAATATTTGCCCTGCACAGAGTTTGATCCAAAAATATTCCTCTGATCGGCTGCAAGAACACTTTTAACTCGAAGACGTAAATAATGCGACACTAGCGCCACCTAGCGGATGATGCACGAAGTGTCCATTTTTGCGGTAGTCAATATGTTTTGCTCCAACTGCACTCAACGAAAATGTTATTTAATACTACTAGCATGTAATATTATGTTTATTTTTAAAAGGATATATGAAGGACTTAACAGAATTACTTTGATTTAGATTTAAATAAAAAAAATTCAAAACAAAGGATTTTTCTACATCTTTTAAACTACAAGCAATTTTAGAGTAATCCTATGTAAAGTTGTAGTCCTCTTCATGACAAACTTGCATTTTATGACCAATTTTAATGTTTAATGTCAGTATAAAAAATGTAAGCGCAAAATATTTTGGACCTTTGCGATAAGTCAGTTTACGTAAACTTGTCGCAGACTTTGGGTTTCTTTGTCTCTTTAGGGAGGCTAACTTTAAAAAAGAGGAAACTTGCATAAATTTTTAAACAGCGAACAACTATACTATTTAAAGTAAAGCCAACTGTATTAGGTATAAACCTTAAACGTTTGGTTTTAACCTGATACTTTTTTTAAAGGGAGACGACAAAAAATTCATCGTAAACCTCAACTGCTTTAAAAGCAATGAAGCAGCCACTGTAATTCTGAGTTCCCCTAGTGGTATGTAACTTTTACTTGATACAACTAGAAGATTGCATAAGAAGTATGGAAACGTACTAGTTTTGAGACATAACTATCAACGTTAGTATGTCGATAAGAGAATATGTTTAAAATACATACTAAGTACGGAAACATTCTAGATGAGAGACAGTTTTTGAATATTTATTTTCAGCAGTCGCTTTACTTCCAGAAATGGATATTAAGTAAATTGTTACTGAAACTTAAACTGAACCTCCAACTGAACTTCAAATCAACACTAAAACTACATTGTGAACTGACAGAAAACTACAATTTCAACTGCAAAGTGGAATTGTATTTAGTCTTCAGTTTCTTTTTAAAACTATTTTTAGTTCGGGAACTGCAGTTTTGGTACTGTAGTTGAAACTACAGTTTAACTAAAGATCCTTCCACCCGGGACATATCGCACCATACGTGCAATGCGTCCCGAAGACGCTCTATGCTAATGCATGAGTATGGGGAAGCATCGCACTTCATGTGCACCAATAGGGTACTCCGGAGACGAGCTGGAACGGAAGTTGAGAAGAAATCAAGAAGAACACAGTATGCGAAATTTGTGAGAATGAGCGTCTGCGTCGCCGTTCTGCCGCTTCCGCCGAGTTACATTCTCATACAAGTCCGGCGTTTGTTCTTCTTCACTTCTTCTCCACTTCCGGTCCAGCTCTTCTCCGAAGTACCCTACTCGCGCTAAACTCATGGCACCAAGGGTCTCCGTGACAAACACCATGCAGTGAGGTGCACGAAGTAGAAACAACCCATGTTTCTAATTTCAGTGCATTCCTGGCAGGTATAGCACAAAAAGATTTTTGAAGTACGAAGCATCCGTAAAGTCCCGAAGAAGCTTTTGGAACGCACTGACTTTCGGGAGTGTCCAATTTGTTTTTAACATTGCTAGACGCATAACTGACCGAAAGAAAGCAGCCCCAGAGAGCGCGCTCAGCCTAGCCACGTGGGGAGGAGGGTGGTAGGGAGCGTAGGGGCAAGAGGGGGAGCGCCAGGTGACGTTCGATTAAACTTTGCCAGCCGCTTTGAAAAGGTGGCGGCAGGGAATGTAGCGCAGCGCCGCAGCACGCCCCCTGCTCGCTTCGAGCAAAATCAACTAAGACGGACCAGTTCTTCCGGCGACCATCTCCGATTTGCCTGATTTTTTGTAGGCTTAATAACTAACTAAAGGAGAGTCTAAAGCCAAAATATTAGGTCCGGCAAAAATTTATTGCCCGAGATATGGCCAACTTTAGTTTAACTTTTGGAGAAAAAACACGGATTTGGGTATTTTGGACTAATTTTACACTTTTCATAGTAGAGGGCTAAAATTTGGTCACTCTACGTAAAATTGGCCAAGGAACAAGAATATGACCTCAGATTTGACCTCCGACGAATACCTGAAGAGTAAACCCCCGAAAACACCCTAAAAACACATAATAAAACAGTTTTTTCTTGGGGTTCCTGGGAAAAATATGTGGACAAAAATTTCTGATGACCTCATCTTATAGAAAATGACGAGATGAATCGAATGAGACCACGCGCAGATTTTTATGTCAAACCGTTTAGGAGATATAGCGGTTCAAAGCATGCAAATTTCGCCATTAATTTTTTAAAAAATGTAGGTTTTGAGCATTGTTTGACGTTCTCTGCCTTCTTGGTGTGTGTGGGTGATTTTTTCTTGTGGAAAAAGACGCGCTGAATCGAATGAGACCACGCACAGAGTTGTATCTCAAACCGTTTAGGAGATATAGTGGTTTAAAGTATGGGCACGGGAGAGCTCCTACAAACACCCGACAAGGCAGGCCCGCCAAACACGCCTGTTGGGAGGGCGGAATACCGTGCCCATACTTTGTACCGCTATATCTCCTAAACGGTTTGAGATACAACTCTGTGCGTGGTCTCATTCGATTCAGCGCGTCTTTTTCCACAAGAAAAGATCACCCACACACACCAAGAAGGCAGAGAACGTCAAACAATGCTCAAAACCTACATTTTTTTAAAAATAAATGGCGAAATTTGCATGCTTTGAACCGCTATATCTCCTAAACGGTTTGACATAAAAATCTGCGCGTGGTCTCATTCGATTCATCTCGTCATTTTCTATAAGATGAGGTCATCAGAAATTTTTGTCCACATATTTTTCCCAGAAACCCCAAGAAAAAAATGTTTTTTTAGGTGTTTTTAGGGGGTTTTGGGGGGTTTACTCTGCAGGTATTCTTCGGAGGTCAAATCTGAGGTCATATTCTTGTTCCTTGGCCAATTTTACGTAGAGTGACCAAATTTTAGACCTCTACTATGAAAAGTGTAAAATTAGTCCAAAATACCCAAATTCGTGTTTTTTCTCCAAAAGTTAAACTAAAGTTGGCCATATCTCAGGCAATAAATTTTTGTCGGACCTAATATTTTGGCTTTAGACTCTCCTTTAGTTAGTTATTAAGCCTACAAAAAATCAGGCAAATCGGAGAGGGTCGCCGGAAGAACTGGTCCGTCTTAGTTGATTTTGCTCTTCATGGTCAAGGTGGGGCCCAGGCCCGGCCTGCTGCAAACCCCCCAGCTCCCGCCCCCTTTTTCCGCCTCGACCCAAAGCCGCGCGTCGCTGTGGGGCAGGAGAGCACGCCACGGCCACGCCGGGGGGCTTTATGGCCTACCCCTTCCCCTCGTCCGACTGCTTCGCAGAGTCGGCGGTCTCTCTCACACTCGAGACATATCCCGTCTGGGTGAGTAAGAGAGAGAGAGAGAGAGAGAGAGAGAGAGAGAGAGAGAGAGAGAGAGGCGGGCGGGCCCGAGCGGCATCCACGCTCAGCCTGCAGGCAAGTGATTCCGGTCGAGCATGCCTGGTGCCCATCTCCGAACGCGCCAAGGAGGGACGACACGGTAAAGGGGCCACCTTCAAATTGCAGGGGATGTCTTGGTCACTTCTCTGTTTCCAAGTGGCCTGTTTGAATTTTCAAAAATGTCCAAATAGAGTATTCTAGTCGTCGCCGATCGAAGAACGAGAAGTAGAACATAGCCGGAACTGGCGCCGGCAACATAACCTCCCAGACTTCAATGAGTGGACTAGTTTCTGAGTTTTCTGAGGCGTAGGCCTATCTCCTTCAAAAGCACTTTCGTTTGTTTCAAACACTTTTTGACACAGGAAATATAAATATTTGCCGACATGTCACATTGGAACCGGGCTTGATACCTTCTCCGTTGCTACCCGGCTTCCGGTTTTGTTCTTCTGTTTGTTCTTAGATCGGCGATGACTAGGATACTCTATTGAGACAAATGGGTTCGTCTGTACGAGACAAACAATATTAAAGGACACATGTTGTAGGTTGGGATCGAAAGTAAATAAGTTGTTGAACTCAGAAATTCCTAAGCAGACTATCTTAACCGTTTTATAAGTTCGACTTATTCAATCCTATGATATGTGTTTCTTTATGACATTTTTGTTGTTCTGATTTGTCGACACGAATTAATTTCCGCAGAGCAATCTCCATTCGGATAACTTTGAAAACATCCTCGAACACCTTAGAAACAAAACCAAGACACCCCACTTGATTGGAAAGTCCGGTTAGAGAAGACTGCAGCGCGACTCAAGCGGCGTACCGTAAAGAGGTTGAATCTGGCGCTCGAAGACATTGCAGTCTGCTGAAGCACTCAGCATTGGAGCCCACTTACAGGTGATGCCAGAACCGGGGCTGAGAGAACACAAGACAATCTCATTTTGATTCAGAGCGTGGGATTTGATAGCCTGTCGGGTTATTGGTTCCAGAAGAGTTTCGGAGTCTGCGGGGTTCTTCTTCTCAACGGTTTCCCGCATCGTGCAGCGAAGTCACGACGCTTCGGACTTCCCGTCTTTGATATCAGAACGGTAAGTAAATTCGTTCGGTCACTTCGTCACTCCTGTACCGGAAGTTCAAACTCTTTCGGTGACTTCGGGGAAGAAGTAAAGCTTGGCACGAAATGCAACGCCTGTTTTAAAACGCACGATAGAATGCGTGCATTGTGCCGGAGTATCTGGTGCATTTATACGCTGCACGAGGTGCGTTGTTACGCAGCACCTGGTGCATTGTTACGCTGCACGAAGTGAGTTGTTACGCACTACCTGGTGCATTGTTACGCTGCACGAAGTGAGTTGTTACGCAGCACCTGGTGCATTGTTACGCTGCACGAAGTGAGTTGTTACGAAGCATCTGGTGCACACCGGTAAAACTGAAGCGTAGTTGTATGCTTGATTCAAGCATACAACTACGCTTGAAGACTTTACGCTTGACGTCAAGCGTAGAGAAGAAGTTCTCCCATGCATTTAGATAGGCGGGAGAGGGGCAAAATGGAGAACTATGCTTGAAGCCGAGCGTAGTTCTACTACGCTTGAAAAAAGGCGTAAAACTACGCTTGAGTTCTACCAGTGCATTGCTACGCTGTCTGAAGTGATTTGTTACGCAGCACAAAGTGCGTTGTTGCGCTCGAATAAACCCTTGTAGTCGTTTTAGAATGAAGAACAAAAGTCATCTAAAATTCACGAACCTCTAGGAGCGTATACCTACCGGTTTTTGACTTAAAGATAACATTTGTTCTTCACTCAGCGACGAGCTCAAGCGTCTATAGGGGCATTTCCGCGAATTTTGAAACGGAAGGAAGAAGAACACAAGAAAACGCACAACTTCCGTTCAGGGTCAGCTATCATCACCCCCTCCTCCGGCGAGGGGACGGAAGTTGTGCACGCACTTGTGTTCTTCTTCCTTCCGTTTCAAGAGTCATAGATAGAAACCCCCTATAGGGTACTTTCGTAGAATCCTGAACCGGAAGCAAGCAGACCAGCAGACGCCAAATTGGCCGGAAACTAACCTCTCTTCGGATCCAAAACTATAGCCGATCTGTACAAATATTGCTCGCGAAACACATATGCACTGCAAACAAGTATCAAACGACTGTTTCTGTTCAAGTGTGGCCGATACCTTTGACGAACGTCTCTTTCCCATGTCAAGTTTGGATCTACTTCCGTCAACATGGCGTCTGTGTGCTTCCGGCTCAGGGATCTACGAAAGTACCCTATTCGTGCATTACGTCTATATTCAGCGTCGTTTAAAGAGTGCCTTCGCATACACTCTACAAAAAATGTCCTGTCAACGCCGTTAATTTATTACCAACGTTTGCTGTTATGCAATTCACGGCGTTTGCTGTGAACTAGTTCACGGCGTTCACTGTGATCTCGGTTACAGTGTTCACTGTGATCTGGTCACAGTAAACGCCGTGAATTGGAGCCTGATTTGCAGTACTTCGGTGCTTAGCGGCGTCAAACTCACAGTTTTTACTGGGGACCAGATCACAGTGAACACCGCGAACAAGATCACAGTGAATCCCGTGAGCAGATCACAGTAAACGCTGTGAATTGACCTACAGTGAAAACTGGTAATAAATTAACGGCATTTACAGGACATTTTTGGTAGAGTGTATGGTGTCTATGTTTCTGAAATGCCTTTTTTGAGGTGAGGTGACAAAGCGGTGCATGCGTCGCGAGAGTGCTGTGGCACCGCTCTGTATCGGTGGAAGGAAACGGTAGGAATCCCAAGGAGAAGAGGCGGGGGGGGGGGGGGGGGGGGTGCGTTGTTGCGCAAGGCGCTGGCGGTGCAGTGGGAGGGGTGGCAAACCAAGGAGGGGTGGCAGTCTGGTCCCGACCGTCGCTTCCTCTCTCTCTCACCCTCGAGGCACCCCGTAGGAGTGCGAGAGAGACAGCGGCGGGGCACTGCTCGGGCCGGAGACGTGATAGCAGACGACAGGCTGAATAGTCGTTAGCGCCGCCAGGGCTGCCGCCCCTCGAGGCGCCCCTCGCAGACTGACTCCGTCTCTCTCGCACCTTTACGGAACGCCCCGTGGGTGCGAGAGAGAGCGCTGACGCTCGGCACCACGCCCGCTTGCCCATAACTCGGTCGGCCCAGACCGCAGCAGCTGTCTTGCTAGGCTCGCGGATCACATCCGCTTACGCCCGATTCCTGTTAATCGAGGAGGCAATTTGACGGGCCGGCCGAGGTCGTTAAGGCACTGAGGCTGGAGCCTCGGGGAAGCGGGTTCGAACCCACATTTTCTCCAGTTTCCTTTGTTTCTTTCAGATTTCTGGTGGATTCGTATTATGGAGAAATTTTGTTTCATCAAATTTCGTCAATTGCTTCAAATTCACTGAAACATAGCTTCAAATTTCATCGTGAGTCATTAAGTGTACTTGCACGTCTATTTTTTGGGCACTGCCTTTGTTGTTGGGTCGGCGGCACACTGCAGTGGTGGCACCACACCGATGCTGCAGCAGCACGCTGTCGGACGGGACGAAAGCGGTGTCTGGTGTGGCCGGCCTGGGCGAGGCCTGGGCGAGGCCTGGGCGAGGCCTGGGCCGGCCCAGCCGCATGTCACGCTAAATCCAGAGCCACGCGCACTGGCCGGACGGACTGGATCGACGACGCGCTAAGCCCGTCTGTCTGCCTGTCTGTCCGTCCGCCACCTGTCTGACTGTCCGCCGCCTATCTGACTGTTCACCTGTCTGCCTGCCTGTCTGACTGTCCGCCATCTGTCCGTCCGCCACCTGTCTGACTGTCCGCCGCCTATCTGACTGTTCACCTGTCTGCCTGCCTGTCTGACTGTCCGCCATCTGTCCGTCCGCCACCTGTCTGACTGTCCGCCGCCTATCTGACTGTTCACCTGTCTGCCTGCCTGTCTGACTGTCCGCCATCTGTCCGTCCGCCACCTGTCTGACTGTCCGCCGCCTATCTGACTGTTCACCTGTCTGCCTGCCTGTCTGACTGTCCGCCATCTGTCCGTCCGCCACCTGTCTGACTGTCCGCCGCCTATCTGACTGTTCACCTGTCTGCCTGCCTGTCTGACTGTCCGCCATCTGTCTGACCGTCCACCTGTCTGACTGTCCGCCGCCTGTCTGCACGTTAAATGTTTCTGTACGAATTTTGCACGAGACGTCACAGTTTTTTGTGCACACGAACTTTTCGTACAAATGTGTACGAAATTTTGCACGAAAACAGGGAATTTGTGCAGTTTTTCGTACGAAAAGTTCGTGTGCACTGAAAACTGGGATGTCTCGTACGAAATTGTCCATGCCATTTAGTGTGTGACTGTCGGCCTGTCTGTGTCGCCGTGCGCAAAATTTTTCACAGTTCAACAGCAGCCCTGCCAATATGATTTCAACTTGCCCCATGTAAACATTAAAATTAGCTGTCCGTTTGTTTGTACACCTCCCTGTACATCTGTCCCTTCCTCGTTCCACCTATCTGGCTGTCCGGTTGTCTGTTTCTGCATGTCCGTGTGTCCGTCCGTCTGTCCGTCTGTCTGTCTGTCTGTCCGTCCGTCTGTCTGTCTGTCTGTCTGCCCGGGCGGACTAGCCTAAGCCACTTACCTGCCGGCGGCCCGTATATATTTTATTCAGGCGTGCCCTCAGACTTCGTCCCGACCACCCACTTTTCGTTTCGTGAATATTCATCTGCAAACAAACGCGGAGCACGGTCTACGAGGAAAGGCATGTCAGAGTTAAAAATTGGGCTGTCGCTGCGAATGTTCAAGCTGAGAAACGGACAAAGCAGACGCCACGTGCGAGTGGCGAAGCACTACTGGCCCCGGGTGGAAAGGACTATACTTTCATTTACATTTCGAAAATGCACGTGTTACTCTACATAAACTGTAAGAAATTTGTTGTCGATTTGTGCATGGAGTGAAGTTAATGTACTGATCACAAGTACATTTGAAATGTAAAGGAATAGTACTTGAACTGCAGATAGGTCAATGCAGTTCAGCTGCATTCCAACTGCAGTTAAACTGCTCAAACTACTGTGAAACTAACTACAGGTCCACGGGTGTGTGACGTCTCGTTCACAGTTAGTCGTCAAAGCGTTCCGAGACGATTCGCCTACCCACATGGTAAATCCATCTCCTGGGATTTCCCAGAAATATCCGTCAATTAATTCATAAGAGTTCTAATTTTTTGTTTCTTTACACACTAAACGTTATGTACAATTTCATACGAGGCATCACAGTTTTTTGTGCACACGAAATTTTCGTACAATTTTCGTTTTTTTGTACAAAATTGTACAAAATTTTGTTCAAATTTGTACGAAAAGTTTGTGTGCACAAAAATCTGTGATGTCTCGTAGAAAATTTGTTCAAAAACATTTTGGGTTTAGTTTAGTTTGTTGTCGTTGTTTTTGTGTGGAGGGGGGGGGTGAAGGATAACAGGAATCATTGACGGCGCTGCCTCGCGTCCCCGGGGAGCACAGCAGCCAGCCGAGCGACGACGTCTGCTCGGTGACAATTGAAACGCGACCTTGCCGGCGGCGCGACAAAGACGGACTGGTATCCCATTCCCTTTGAAGGGCGAAGGACGCGCTTGTTATACAGTGATGCGTGCACGGTAAAAAACTGTTCCTTGTTTTCCCAGGAACTCCCTGGAAATCGCCTATGCCTTTACCATTGGCCTCCTGGGAAAACCAGGTTCCGTTTTTACCGTGTGGATCGACGCGTCGCCTTGGGCCGGACAGCCTTCCGGAGGATCTCGCTCTGTCTCTCTCTCACCTACATAGGACTCCCCACGAGTGCGAGAGAGACAGAGCGACGAAAACATTATGCAACCGCCTGGCCGTCGGCAAACGCCTGGCATGGCGGGCCGGCCCGCTTACCTCGTCAGCGCAGCGTGTTGCCTACTCTCTCGGCCACAGGCGCTTCGGCGTGGAAGAAGAGACGGATGAAGGCCAGGAACGTCGACCTGACGGTCGCACGGGACGGGACGCTTGGAGCCTTTTTGCGTTCCTTTTTGGGTGTCCGGCCGAATAGTGTGTGTGCGCGTGACGCGGCAGCGGAGGGGCCTAAAGCCCCAGGCTG